AAAAAAAAAAAAAAAAGGAGGAAATCACAACTAAAGCACCTCAAAAGGAGGGAGGAGAGAGTGTCTTTTGGGGGAGAGGACTGCCGCTTTTAAAGATTGCTAGGCGAGAAATCAGGAGACATAGTCGCTTGGGAGACTGTCCTTGTGCCCTGCGTGTTTAAAAAGCCGCTCCTGGAAGTCGACCTAGCAGGGACTCGACTTGTGCCCGAGCTCTGCAGTTCAGCTCGAAATAGACACGCCAGTCCTTCGTCCCGAGAATCTCTCCCCAGCGCCCAGTTTCTTTGTTGCAAATGCGATCCAATCTCCCAGAAGACTTTTTACCTTTTCTTCTTCTTCTCGCCCCCCGCCCCCTAGCTCTCTTCCTCTCTCCCTGGTTCTCGCTAAAGGCGTCTGCGGTTGCGCTAGCCAAGGCTTTAACCCGGAGCAAGAGAGCGAAAAACGTCTCTCTCCTTTGGGAAAAAAAAAAAAAATCGGATTTAAACCCCCTCTCCCAACGCTATCAAAACTTGAACTGTACTCTGGCTTCCGTTCGCTCTCCTCCTCCTTCCTCGGCCCGGAGCTCCGGAGGGTGTCTCAGTTGCAATCCGAATCCTGCTGTGCTCTGCTCCCGTGCCACTCTTCCTTGTCCTAAAACGTGAGCGAATTCACTTCCTAAATCTGCGTCCAGACACGTAGGGCAGGGAGGATCCAGGGGGGCAAAATGGCAAGGAGAAATGGGAGCGCGAGAAGGAGAGGAAGAGGCAGCGCGAGGAGAGGGAGGGCGTGAGGGAGGGCGCGAGAGCAAGCGAGCGAGCGAGAGCTGCTCTCCACCCTCCTCGCCTCTAGAATTCCCCGGGCGTCTGCTCGGCGGCTCTAGAAGGTCGGACTCTGCTGTGGGCTGCGGGGAGCCGGAGGCCTCTTGATTGGCTCTTTGACGCTTTCGGACCAATTGTGTGGCTGCATAGGCGTGGTTTTCACAGGTCGAGTGCTGGGGGATAGAGCCGAGTTATAAAAAGAAGGTGTCGGAAACTGTAACGTCGCTGCGCCGCTTCGGTACTACTGCCTGTCCTGTGAATATGTCAACATGATCAGAGGGAGGGCGGGGAGCCACTGGGGAGCGCGCGCGCACAGAGTCGCCTCTAGGTGGCTTATCGAGAGATCACCGCAGCCCCTGAGCTTGCTCGCTCGGCCCATGTCTAAAATGCCTCAGTCATCCCGCCCGGAATCAAGGGAGGAGGCAGGGCCAGGGAGGAGGGATAGGGAGGGAGCGAGCGAGCCAGCCGGCAGCTAGAGCCGGGCGGAGAGCGCGCTCCGGTGCCGGGTAGGGGCGCTCGCCTCTCGCGCGCTCGACTCTCCCTCTCCGCTTCTCTCGGCCGCTCCTCCTCTTCCCCCGGCCCCGGCCGAGCCGGGCAGGCGGCCGAACCTCCCGCGAGCTGCCATTCCGCCGCTCAGAGTAACAAAAGCCGGCGGCAGAGAGGCTTGCGCGTTCTGCAGCCCCACGTGGAGCCAAGCTCCGCCCGGCCGCCGCTCAAGGGCTGCCTAGCTCGCGGGATTCTCAGTGCCAGCCTCCCCTCTATCTGCGCTCCCGGACACGCGAGCACACGGATACGGCCGGATCTGGGCACACGCGTGTGGGGGCTCCCTCTCCACCCTGCCTCACCCGCAGCCTTGCGTGGAGACCCCAACGCCCCCAGCGCATCTGTACGCGAACACGCGCCAGCACACTAGGACCGAGCCACACGCCGAAAAACACGTACACGCCAACACGTACACAGCCTGCTCCGCCGACCCTGTGCGCTCACTCCGGGAGGCAGCCGCGGGGGTCTTACGAAATGCGTTTAGCAGACCTTTTAGCTGGCTTGGACGCGGGCTCCCCGTATTCCACCTGGATGTGTTGAGGGGAGTTGTAGAGGGGAGAATGAGGATCTGGACAAAGTAAGAACCGAAGGACTGGGTTCGTGGCCTGTCCCCGCCTAGCCGCTGCCCTCACCTCAGCGGCCCGCTCTGTGCGGGGCCGCTCGTAAGAGGTGGGCGAGCTGGGAGGGGGAGGTGCGCCGGCAGCCTCGTATCTTCTCCAGGCATCGCACTTATCTCTCGGTGCCTCAGTTCTTTCTTCACCCGGGGCCTTATCTCGGCAGAAGTCGGGGGCGAATTTGTAAAACAAACCGTGAAACTCCCCCAACCCAGAGACGAGGTGACTGGTTCCAGTTCAGGTAGGGTGGGGGCCACAGCGAGGGCGGAGGGGAGGGCGGGAATCAATCTTACTGATCAGACGTGCGGCGGGCTTGGTAACTCTGTTACCGCAGCTCCCTGCCCGGGTCAGGGGAGCCCCCTAAACCTATAGGTCTCGCCTTTGGGGGGCAGTGGGTTGGGCCGTCGTAGCTTAGATGGAGGGAAATATGTGGAGGATGATCTTTTACCTTACCTGAGTCGAGAATGCCCTCGACTGGAAAGGGAAGGAGAAAGGGTTGATTGGGAGGCGGGAGGGTTAAGAACGCCAATGCTTCCAGTGTGTGTGTGTGTCTGTGTGTGCCAGAGAGCAAAGCTGTTACTTACGCCTTGCCGTGTGTACCCCCTGAGTCCCCAGATCCCGGACTCCGAAGTGGGGGCAAGTGGAGGGTGAAATGCAATTCCATTGTGGGCTAACCGCGCCGAGATAGGGGCGGAACTGGTGAGGCGACGAGCTTTTCCAGCCTCGCATATTTGACGCACATGCTTAAGAGCGCTTGGCGCCAGCGCGGAGAATTCCCTGAAGTCACCAGAGAGAATAAAGTGGCTCTGCGAACTCTGTCTGGCTCGCCATCTCTTTTCCCTTTCTTTCTCTTTCAGTCTCTCTTTCTCTAGCCTGCCCTCTCGCTCTTTCTTTCTGCCGGTGGTTAAGAAGAGAGAGACAGAAGAAAGAGGCGGCGGGGGCGCAGAGTCGTGGCTTGAAGTAACTCACAAGATTCCCTCCCGCGTCCCCGTGCGCTGGATTTTGAAGGGTGCGAGAAGCCAGGCCTTCTCCAGCCTTACACCGACCACGGAGGTCACTGCTGGGTTTCCCGAGTCTCTAGTGGCAAAAAGCACTCCCTCCCCACATTGCTCGGAGCCTGGGCCTGGAGCCACTTCGCTGCTTTGTGGAGCGGCCCAGACTCCTCGGGATCTGGCTTTTCGTGCACTGGCGGGCCAATGTGGGCCCGACCTCTTCCAGTGTAAGCAAAATAATTCTCCTCACCCACTCGGTGCCCCAAAGCGTCCAGGTGCACGGGAGAGAGAGACATTGCTACTCGTCTCTCCACGCTGGGCCTCTGTTCGGCTTTAGAAATGGAAGGGGAGTTGCTGATTTCACTTGTAAATATCTCCACTCGCCTTTGGTTCTGCGGAGAAAGGAGCGTGGCTTCTGCCCTTCACATGCCCCCTCCCTCAATTGCCTGTTTTTACCCGCAGCTCTAACGTAACCCTGGGGTCATTCCAGTTCGCCCCCCAGACTCCTACCCGCACTCTAGCGCGCAAGGGACGGGGGAAGAGGAAAGTTTGCGGGGTTCTGCGTCGAAAATGTCGACATCTTGCTAATGGTCTGCAAACTTCCGCCAATTATGACTGACCTCCCAGACGCGGCCCCAGGAGGCTCATATTATGCAGGGAGGTCGCTGTAATCTGGGATCAAAAGCGGGAAGGTGCGAACTCCTCTTTGTCTCTACGTGGCCGCCGCGCCCCCCTCCCGGTGGGTGATAAACCCACTCTGGCGCCGACCGTGCGCTGGGTGATTAATTTGCGAACAAACAAAAGGGGCCTGGTAGCCACCGCTTTCGGGTTAAACATTGGCCAGCATGTTCCAAGGACTTGGGCCATGCCTGGCCTGGAAAGAACCCACAGGGCTAGTGCGCCCCTGGCTGGGCTTTAGGCTCTAGCAGGAGGCTGTCCACGGTGGTCTCTTTGCAGGCCCCTTGGTCTTCATTCCCTCGGCCTCTTGCTCAACAAAAGCCATAGAGGAAGCCTTGACTGCATCTGCCCTCAATACCGAGAAGCTAGTGCCTTAGGGTGGGAGAAGGGGACCAAATTCTGGGTCAGGCAGGATGCTTAGGCCTCCTGGTGTCCCCCAAATATTCCCCCAGCTTTTGCAAAAAGACTTTTCAGTTAATGGAAGGCCCAGAGTTTTGTTTTGTTTTTTTAATTAAAAAAAAAAAAATTCACCTCTGTAAATCAGCAGTGGCTGTGACTTTTAAGGCAGGGTGGCTGGCGTGTGTATAGATGAGGAGGGGACAGACGGGTATCAGAATAAAGTTGATATGTGAACATAGCAACAAGAAAACACATCAGCTAACTGTAGCCCTGGCCACAGAGAGCGAAGAAGCTGGCCTTTCCCGAGGAACGCCGGGGAAGTCTCAACAAGAGTGACACTTTTCCCTACAGGAAGGCCGGCTTCCAACCATAAGGGGGACAAAACGACCCTTTGGTGACCGAATGGCGTTTATCTGAAGTTTACAAAAAAGGGGGGAGGAAGGGGAGAGGATGGTGGGGAGGCGGGTTCGTTTACTTTGGCGAGTTTGCTGTAAATACTCTCTTTAGCATGTGTGAGGTCTGACGGGAGACTATTACACGCTTATTCCCTCTTAAACTTTCACCCCCGTTTGCCGCTGAGCTTTTTGCAGTCCGAGGTGTCGCTAAATTGGGAACTCTGTTGACACAAGGGCATCCGTATTTCTCCTGGGGTCTGGGGCTTAATTAAGAAGTTTCCTACGGGTGTCAGTCAATATGTAAACTTTTTTTGGGGGGGTGGCTTTCTGGCTGGCTGGCAGTTTAGCAGTGGATCCCCCTGGTTCTGATGTCAGCTCTGAAGCTTCCTAGGTGCCAGCTTGC